TTTATTCTGTCATATTGACTTCATCCAAGACAGGCTGCCTCCAGCCTCCAGGTTTCATCCCCCAGCCTCTGCTTTCCTTGCTCTCTCCCCAAACACTAAAGGTCAGTTTTTGTGCAGAAAACACAAGTTACAGATGAAGGGTTTATGAAGACGGTGAATTCTGGAGACAATCTAACTTCTCACCCTTGGTTAGCTGCCCACTTGTGTGACTTGTGGCAGGTCCCTTAATTACTTCAGTTCCTGTGTGAAAATAGGGATTTCACCTGCACTGTCAAACTCACACCAAAGATGAAATGATTTCAAAATGAGTGGGGAGAGACGATTGATCCTAAAGTCTCAATAAATAGCTTAAAGTTCATTTAGAAAAATGGCTGCCACTCCTCCCCTCCCTGCCCCAGGACCTGATGTATGTCTTTAACATGTTAAGAGTCTTTGCAGGGTTTGAGGATGCTACTCTGGAAAGGTTAGATGGTTTTACTGTTTTTCCATTGAAACACATGCAAGCTGATTTTAGTTAGGAGTGTACAAATCTGATTCTCATGAACAAAATGGCGAGGCTGTGGCTTCCTCCTGCCCACTCTCCCATGTGTTTGCCCACAGCCTCTCTTGGGGGAGGATGTTTATTCCAAGCATCCGGAGAAGCATTGTGCTTTGTTCAGGATCCACCTGCTCCTCTTGGGGCCCAGACACAATTCACTGATGCTGTTGGATTCCAGAGTGGGAGGCTGGCCGCTGTTATTCCCTTGAATTTAGTCCAAGAAACTAAGTAAGAGGTGGAGGGACCCTGTGTGGAGGGATGTTAAGTTGAACAACAGTTCCCTTAGGTCTTTTGTTTGTTTGGTGCTATGATTAGTGCAGTCCTGGTTCAAAATTTTGTAATGCACACCCACCCCTTACTTAGGAATCTTACAGTCTTGTCAGAAAGAAATGACAATAGCAATAAGACAGGATATGATCAAAATGTAGATTCTGCATGATACAATATGAAAAATATTGCTATTATTAATAATAATAGCAGGTTGCTCGCGCCTGTAATTTCAGCACATTGGGAGGCCAAGGAGGTAGGAGCAGTTGAGGCTAGGTGTTCAAAACCAGCCTCGACAACATAGCAAGACACCATCCCTACAAAAAATTTAAAAATTTAGCCCAGCCTGATGGCACAAATGTGTAGTCCCAGCTACTTGGGAGGTTGAGGCAGAAGGATTGCTTGAGCCTAGGAGTTTGAGGCTGCAGTGAGTTGTGATCATGCCACTGCACTCCAGCCTGGGCAGCAGAGTAAAACCCCAACTTCCCTTTCCAAAAAAAAATAGAATTTTACCCTGGCATGGTGGTGAGCACCTATAGGTACTCTAGAGGCTGAGGCAGGAGGATCACCTGAGCCCAGGAGTTCAAGGCTATAGTGAGCTATGATCATACCACTTCACTCCAGTCCAGGCAACAGAGTGAAACCCAGTCTCAAGTAGTAATAATAGTAATAGCTGCTATTTATCTAGTGCCCACTGGGTTCCTAACACTGTATTTGACACTTTCATACATTATCTCTTTAGTCACCACAACAACCCATCGTACTACTGAGGAACCTGACACTCAAACTAGTTTCATGACTTCCAAAGAATCTAATATAGAACAGAGCAAGGACCAATGCTCAGTCTGGCTGAAGATGGGACCAGCTTCAAGATGTGGGATTTAGCCGGGCTCGGTGGCTCAGCCTGTAATCTCACGCCTTTGGGAGGCTGAGGTGAGTGGATTGCCTGAGCCTGAGGGTTCGAGACCCGCCCGGGCAACTTGGTGAGACCTCATCTCTACAATAAATCAAAAATAAGCCAGGCGTGGTAGCGCGCGCCTGTAGTTCCAGCTACTGGAAGGCTGAGGCAGAAGGATCACCGGAGCCCAGCAGGTGGAGGCTGCGGTGGCCAGGAGCGGTCACTGCCCTCCAGTCTGGGCGACAGAGTGAGACTCCAACTCAAAATAAAAAAAAAAAGATGTGGGATTTGAGTTGCGTCTTGAAGGACGAGGAATACACGTGGGAAGGCAGGGTTCTCCATTCTCCTTATAAAAGGGTTGTGGAAAAGTCATGCTCTCACCCTTCTGGGCTTCCTGAGATAGTGCCTCATTCCCAAATGCCTTTCCCCACTGGCTTCCTCTGCTCGCACTCTAGCCCTTCTTCAAGGTCTGTTTTGAGATGGTTCTGCCAACCCCAAACCAGACGTGTCCTCACCCTTGTTTGTACGTCCATGGCAGCTTGGGTGTACCTTTCCTATGTACTTACCATCTAAATAGTTCTGTGACCTCTTAGTCTCTTTGTGCCTCCGTTTCTTTATCTACAAAATGAGGAGGCTAATAGTACCCATTTCATAAGCCATGTGAGGCCTAAATGAGTCACTGTGTGTGAAGCACTCAGAACAGTGTCCCAACATAATAAGCATCATTTATTGATTGATTGATTGATTGAGTTGGAGTCTCACTCTGCTGCCCAGACTGGAGTGCAGTGGCACGCTCCTGGCCACTGCAGCCTCGACCTGCTGGGCTCCGGTGATCCTTCTACCTCAGCCTTCCAAGTAGCTGGAACTACAGGTGCCCACTACCATGCCTGGCTAATGTTTTTGATTTATTGTAGAGATGAGGTCTCGCCAAGTTGCCCAGGTGGGTCTCGAACCCGTGGGCTCAGGCATTCCACTCACCTATGCCTCCCAAAGCACAGGATTATAGGCTGAACCATCGAGCCCGGCCTCTATTTTAATTGCCATACATACAAACTGAGAACTTTGACCAGGTGGAATTCAGATACCCCCAAATCTTACCCCACATACACATGACACACAACACACACACACAGGTATTCATACAGTGTCTTATATTCAGAGCTTGATAAATGTCAAAACAGCTGCATATTGTAAGGTGTGGCCTCCTAGACCCAGCAGGTGGGAGAAAGTGCCATTTGGTTTGACTGGTTTAGATCCTGCAGGAGCCCTATTCCTCAAGAAGCAGACGTATTTCAACCAGAGACGTTTGAGAAACCCAGAGTCATCCAGGCAAGACCCTCCCTCCTCCTCATCCAGGAGGCATAGTACTAGGGAGAGGGTGGTGCTTCAGAAGAAACTGGGTCAGGCTATCCTAAGAGAATGTGGTCTAGAGAGAGGAGAAGACTGCTGATCAGATCCAACAGGGATCCAGACTACTGACTGCAAATGCTGTTCTAAAGAACAGATTTTTCCAGAAGCAGAGCCTCTATCCAAGGACTTACTGGGAGACCTGCAAAATCGATCCTCTTCCAGAGAGATGAAGCAGCAGTGGCCTGATAATTCATTTTTCTGTGACCTCGTCTCTTGTGGGGTTTCTTTGAGGCTCCTGTTGAACTCATGTCTCCGTGACCTGGAGGTTGGCTAGCCATGCTCTTCTGGCTTGATCCAAGCCCAGTTATTTTCCCTTAGCTCCCTTAAATTCCAGCTGAGTCCTAGTGCTAGTCTTGACCTTGCCTTGTGCAGGATCAAAGGAGCCTGGGTTTTCCTGCCTCAGGTCACAGCAGTAGGAAAATACCCAGGCTCTATTCCAACTGGGAGGACCCTCTGGCCTTGTCGCGAGCGGCAGTCCTGCCTACAGACAGGAAGCTTTCTTCTCCATGGAGGCTCAGCTCTGATGATGGTCACATGCCCCAGCAGTTTTCCCCTAACAGGAAAGTTGTCAGAGCTGTTCAGGCATTTCCTCCTCTGCCATCTGCCATCCGGACCGAGGAGAAAGTCTTAGTTTTTGTTCCTTTCCTGTGCAGGGGAGGTCATTCCGATTGGAGGCTGCTGGAATAAATCCTGTTAAGTGAGAGAACAGGGTTCTGAAGGGCATTGGCTCACAATTCCAATCCATACCTTTCCTGGGACTCAACTGTTGAAGAATTATCAGAGTTGATCCTATGAGCTTGAGTTCCTAAGTCCTGTGAATCAGTCAGCAAGCCAGAGAAAGATCTAGGAACTTCATTAAAACTGGGTTCCATGCTTTTAATGGAAAAGGGGGCTGGAAGACTAGACACAAAATACCACTTCAGTTTGAGTAATGCTATTTGTGAGACCCTTTAAGTAGCAAGAGGGAGGAAGCCTCTGAGGATCCTGATGAGTGGGTAGCATAGATTTGTTCTCCACCCCCCACCTCTCTTGGCTTTTCTTCCATCATTTGGGGTATTGTAACCTTGAAACAAAGGATTTTCTCTTAGTTATTACTGTATTAATATTTTCTTTCTTTCCTTTTTTTTTTTGAGTTGGAGTCTCACTCTGTCACTCAGACTGGAGTGCAGTGGCCGCTCCCGGCCACCACAGCCTCAACCTGCTGGGCTCCGGCGATCCTTCCACCTCGGCCTTCCAAGTAGCTGCAACTACAGGCACACACTACCACTCCTAGCTAATATTTTTGATTTATTGTAGAGATGAGGTCTGGCCAAGTTGCCCAGGCGGTTCTCGAACCCTTGGGCTCAGGCAATCCACTCACCTTGGCCTCCCAAAGCATGGAATTATAGGCTAAGCCACCAAGCCCAGCCTGTATTAATATTTTCTGTTGGTCATTTCTTTTAATTTGGATAGCATATCTGTCATAAGCAATCCTTAAATAACATAATGTTTTCTAAATATTAGTGAATGTATAATAAGCAAATGTCTTAGACACTAATAGATATGTGCTTTGGTACTGGGAAAGTTTTGAGTTTTTTCTCTTTTTTTTGAGAAAGCAGTAGTTTAAAGAAGACAGAAAAGCTCCCAAGTGGGAGGGGGCCTGAAAGAGGGTTGCCCCTTGAGTTTTTTCTATTGTGTTATTACACATATACATATAAGTAGGCAGTATTTACATTTACTATAAGCAGTATTTTGTTGTTGTTCAGTTGGAATTTTGGAAAAAAGGATCCTTCTTGTGGAGGGGGAAATAGTGTGACTTTATTCAGAATTTATTGCCTGAGACTCTGGATGCAGCTTAGGGTATGCTAGTAATCATCTCCTGCTCTCCACTTTTCTCTGTCTTCCTAGGAGGACTTTAACAAGGACCAAGGAGAGGGCCTGATCCGAGTACTATGTGGGGAGGAGCAGGCTGATGCTAAGGCTGCGGCCCCCATGTGCTCCTTACTCCTTGCCCAGTCTGGGGCCAGGCCTCAGTGCCTGCTGCTGGTCTTGGCCAATGAAACAGGTAAGGGGCTGCTGGGGGTACTTGGAAGGGAGTAGGGCTGAGGTTAGAAGATCCTAGGTGGAGACTGGGCATCTCAACTCCAAAGACCACAGGTGGTGGGGAGAAAAGCTTATCTGATTTTGGGAGAGGCCCTCCTGAGATGGACTACCCTGGTCATCAGAGCATCTTCTAGAACAGCATGGGAGGGTAGAAAAGGAGAGCTGGTAGAGCTTCTAGATTTAGCAACCTCTGTTTCTAATTTTAGAAATTTCCAGCAAATGCCAAATTTTGGAAAAGCACCAGTCTGACCTGAGAAAGGTAAGTTATCTGAAATGATGGGTCTCGGAAGGAATGTGGAGTTGTAGGAGCTCACTGGAGTAGGGGAGGAAGTAATCATCTTCTCCAGTCCTGCCTTTTTCTACCTCTCCTTCCTTCTCTGACTAGTCTTGACCTTTCTAGGCTTGAACCAAACATTTTGTGGTACAGCTTATTTAAGAGATGTCCATCTCAAATCCTGTTACAAACATCCCTGTGGTCAATATCCTCTTGCATCTATTCACTGTGGACTCACACACAGGGGTCTAGAGTGGGCTGGGCCCCTCTTCTATAACCCACCTTCTACAAGTGATAGGCTGTCTTTTCTGTGTCTTCTCTTCAAGCTGGGAATCCAAAGTTTCACCAAACAAGATGTTGTGAGCCACCAGAGCTATTCCCGAAAGACTCTGATTGCACTGGTCACCTCGGGGGTCCTCCTGGCTATCTTGGGCATCACTGGTTATTTCCTGATGAATCGTCGCAGCTGGAGCCCCACAGGAGAAAGGCTGGTTAGTTCTGGGGTCTAGGGCAAAGGAAATGAGGAAAACAGTGGTCTTCAGGGGAGGTCAGTGGGTGTCATGGAGGAGGAGGAGAAGTACCAGAAAAGGCACCTTCTGTGTACTTACATAGAGCATGCACATACCGGGTCCATGAAAAATTACACACAATGTATAGCAGACTGGAGAGGGGGGAAGTAACTGGGGCCAGCCCACCTACTCACTGTGGGAGATGATTCATGTCATCCATTCATTAGGTTTTCTGGGATAGTTTAGCTGGGTGCCACCAGAACAGGCCACACTTATTTACAAGCATATTAAATGCCCAAGTGGTACCGCCTTGCTCACAGGAAGGGGACATATGGCAGGAAAATCTACTTTGGAAGTGTTTTGGGTTAGAGAGGACAAGGGTGAGATTTGACCCTTGGCCTCTGACCTGCTACCTATCCTGGGGAGGTGATTCCATCCTGGGGTCTGCCTGTGTTCTCGCGGGAGCTGGCTACTGAGCTGCGATGGCCTTTCTCCTCTAGGAGCTGGAACCCTGACTGCTCTTCGGGAAGAAAGGCGTCTGCACACGCAGCTGTGTCCTCCCTCCCTCTCGCCTGCTCCCTTCCCCCACTCCTTTCCCCCACTCGCTTTTTGGACCCCTCCCCTCACAGTGTCTCACACCCCTGCTGACCAGATAATGCTACTTTATTTATACACTGTCTAGGGCGAAGACCCTTATTACACGGAGAACGGTGGAGGCCAGGGCTATAGCTCAGGACCTGGGGCCTCCCCTGAGGCTCAGGGAAAGGCCAGTGTGAATCGAGGGGCTCAGGAGAACGGGACCGGCCAGTCCACGTCCAGAAACGGCCATTCAGCAAGACAACATGTGGTGGCTGATACAGAATTGTGACTCGGCTGGGTGGGGCAAGGCTGGGCAGTGTCTGGGAAAGAAGTCCTTCCCTGCATCTGACCATATGCTGCCCCCACACTGGAGGTGACATCCCTTTTATCGAACCCTTCCCCACTGCACACATCTCAGAGGCTGTTCTTAGGGCCCTCCCCATTGGGGAGAGACAGGAAAACTCCTGCCCTCTTCACATTCCGTTCCCTGGAACCAGATTCTGGTCTTCTTTGGGTACATGATGGGAAAGAGCCAAGGTCCAGAGAAGCTCCCAGACATGGGTGATGGCCTCGAGCATTCACACCTGGCCTCCCTTCCCCTCCCCCCCCCCCCCCCCCCCCCC